AGGAATGCAGAGGAGTCAATCAGATGCTGTGATAGTGTTTAGGTGGGACTTGGGGCATTAGAGAATTGGTGCATTCAAATGTCTGTACTTTGACTTTCCAGCTTGGGGCCCCAGAAGGCTTTAACTTCTCTAAGTTTTAACCTCTAATTTCATCAGGCTGAGCGAAGAAGGGAAGCACTGCATAAATGCATAGGTTTCAAAAAAGATCCTAACGGGTCATCTTTTTACAACCCTGGGTTTTGGTTTACTCTTAACACACTAAACAAAAGGAACACAGACTTTTGGTAGCCATATCCTGCCTCTTGTATCCTGTCTCACATTATTCCACTGGAGGTAGCACAGTTACACGGATATGCCCAGAAGCAAGAAATGGCACCGTCATTCTAAAAATAGCGTCTGACGGAATTCAGCAGATTCTTACTTACACTTACAGCCACAAGACTGTCATTTGCAAACTGTATGCATGACCAGTTTATCCATGGATAAACACACTGCTGTTCATTTCAACCAGAAATCCCGATTATTAGTATATAAATACCAGTTATCAGTGCTTGGGTTTTATTTACAGAAGAATGATTAGATAACCCTACATACCCTGGGGGTCTTGGCATCCTCATACATAGTGCTGAATGTAATTGCTAGTGACAATCCCCTGAACTGAACATCGCAAGAAAAGACAACGTTATTTACACATGGTGGCATCCAGGAGCTCCAGACTGGTTTCCTACTGGATTAGTCAGTAAACAGCTACACAGCAAGGCACAGTTCATGTGGACAGGTACCAACAGACACAGACAAGAGCGCCGGAGAAGGGATGCATTCTCATTCTTCCTTTACAGATACGAAATGGAATAGCACAGCAAACTGAACCACCTGTCCGATAGCACAGAGAAACTTGCAGCAGGACCCCGGTATGAATGCTGATTCATAGCATGGTAGTCCAATACCAAAAATAAGTGACCTTTTATTTTTAAAATCATCCACAATTTTCCTGGGTCAGAATCCCTAATCTCTTAGAAATTGTAGGAAAAATCAATTTCTGAAGGTCCTCATCTCACAAGATGTAATGTCTTCCGGGAGTAGAAAAGGTTTCACTCTTCTCATACTTCATTTCTCTATTACTTACTGTCTCACTTTCAAGTCCAGGTTTTAGCACCCACAAACATTGTAACATAAAATTACAAGAAAAATTTATCTGGATTTTGTATCTCTCCTTTTCTTAGCCATTTTCACTAGCAATCCTCTTTTCTCTCTTTCTGTGTCCCCTAGAAAACCATTACCCAGAGTGATTTAGATAAGTCAGTAAGTTATAATGTATGCTAGTTGAGTGAAATTCTGACATTATTGATCTATCCTCTAATTAGTTTTCTGCATTTTCAGTCTAACTTGGGAAGATGAGGGATAATGAGTATATCCTGCATCAAAAACGCTGAATGTTTAAAAGGTCAAATATTAGAGTAGAAAACATGTTGATTTTAATCTTGCAGAAGATGATTTAACATTTAACAAACTGACAGCCAGATGAATAGGAGAAATGCATAAAAAACCCAGAATGCGTGTAATCTATTTTACTCCTGACTCAAACTCATTAGTACACCCCTCCCTCCCCCCATAGAGATAAGCTTATCTAAAATCCCAGATCAGAATACTTGCCAGCTTTCTGTAGATATTTAAAGCCTAAACCTGACTAATATGACCAGTACCTTTGTAACTGGATGAACAACATCACTGAAGTATTTCGAGGCAATTCCACACAACACTCTTCTACTACTAAGCTTTCTGAAAATCTTAATGTTGACTCTCGCTTATTTCTGTACGAAGTATTCTCAGTATTCAGATTTCAGAAATCTTGGAATAAAGGCTGATATTAGATCTGTCATGCTTTCCCCACCAAAACAGCAGAATTGAACTCAACCTATGAGCTCAACCATTTCACTAATTTCTGTGGAATTCGACTAAGCTCCAAAACAGCACTGTGGCTACGTAAATCACCCTTAAATCTCTTTTCTAATCCCTCAAACCATCTAGCTACTCCTGGATTAGTAGCTGGTGTTTAGAGGGCTATACATTTTAATTGCACGTATGCAAGGCCCCGGTGCTCAGACTGCGCCTAGTTCACAATGAAGTATGCAAAAAGGGTTTGCAGCTGGAAGGAAGAACATCTCTTCCCAGCGCCGTGGAGGTGCAGGTATCCATGCCGGCTCCTGTCCCACCACACACTCTCACCAGGAAGCACCCTTTGACCACGGGGGCACATAAGCCCTGTCCTGTCTTTTGGATTCCAAAGCCATTCCCCTCCTAAAAACTGCTTTGTGGTAGACAGAGACAAGAGAGCTTTCTGCCTCCTCCCTGCCCAGACAAATACACATCACCTCTGCTACCAGCTTCCACTGTGGAGACCACAGAGATATGCAAGCAGGCATCATGTTATCAGAAATCGTCTATGAACTCTAAAACCTTCCAAGAGGGTGTCTAATTAGATAAGCATGATTTTAAAAATGAAAATTAAACTCTTCACACATCTGATTTTTCATATATGATGCAAACTTCTACATATAAGTACAGACTAGATTCTTGCTTCCTGAGCCTACGAAAATAAGTGGCAAAAAAGAATTCTCACTTGGACAATTAATTTCACTTTTAACATGATTTAGCATTCTTTGAAAAAAATGATCAATTGCTTCACTGAAGGGATAGACATGGTTACAAAATATTCCCTTAAAATGGAATTAATCTCCTTTAAAAGATATATATTTTATATACTACTTATCATGCAGAACTCCACACAGTGAGTCCTCAAAGAAATCAGTAACTTGGATTAAAGTGTTCTGTGGAAATAAAGCATGTCTCTTAATACTGGATTTGGTATAGGACCTTTGTGCCTCTTTAGCTTCAAAGTCTGATGAATTCCTTTTCAAGGCATCCTGTAAAATTTATAAAACCAGTATATTGAACCTAATCTACACACACGATTATTACAGAATCTGTTATAAATGGATATGCTTACGGTAGTTTTAGATCCATTAAAAAGACTGAGATTTCCTTACACTCCTTTGCTTTAAAACCCAGCTTTAAATTTGTAGGACTGGAAACTTCTCATGCTGAGATAATCACATAAAAATCTACTTCTTTTAAGAAGTAAAAATGAAATAGACTGTTCTGTGCATTTAAAACAATTTCAAAGTAAAAAAAAAAAAAGTGTCATTGCCATTTAAAAGTCAACATAAAAAGCGTGAGTAGAAGAAAACTTAGTGATCTAATTAGCTTATTAATACTCACTTAGCACTGGATGAAACATAAATAAGGGGTGTAAATTAGTGGATTTCTGAAAGGGTCTGACCTAATGGCTCAAGCCAGACCTCAGTCTGATGTGCAAGCTGTCCACTGAATTACAGAAGTTACAGAACAGTATACTTTCAAGAACACATCTTTTTTTGCTATTATGGAAACCGAGTCCAGCTTTATAGCAGGAGAGAGCAAACCATCTAAAAGACACCACCGTGCAAACTATGTCTATTAGGACCAATAGCATCAGCAAGAAATTATCATTTCTAGGATGTATTTTTGCAGCACAAAGCTGCTACAGCACTTTTAAAATATCATTCAGACTCAACCTTGCACAAGAAACCTGTCTGGAAGTGAATGTGAGGAGAATCCACATTTCCAAAATGCTTTGATGCCACAAAATCACATCTGAATGTGGTACGCAGTAAACAAACTTAGTACGAAAACTGCAAGACGACATCTACTAATCTCCCAGCAGGAAGGAAAACTTTTCTCTGGTGTCAGGAGTCAGCTACACAACACTCCATCTCCTGAAGGTGTTGTTTTTCCAATTACTGCAAAGGAAATTGGAAACCAAACACTAAGGTGAACATTGCAGAGCGGACAAACTGAAATGTGCTTCTTGAACAAGCATAAGGCAGCATCTGCTGCACTCAGTGCACCACAGATCGGTTTTGGAGCAGAGGGAGGGGAAAAAGAGAGCCACCATGAGATAACGATGTCTTTTACCTTCAAAATCTCTTATTTTCTGCACCAATTAGCAGGGCGTGGTTTCTCCTACCCCTTTACAAAATTGCGCAGCTGAGGCGCATCCAAAACTCAGGACTGACTCTCCATCTCTGTAAATCCTCTTCAGTTCAGCTGAGCTACAACATACAGACCACACACAGCAGCCAAGATCCTCACGCGGAGGATGTAAGCTC